CTCTTAGACCCAGGTCTATTGGTACGTGGGAAGAAATGATGACGACATTCTTCAACAAGTATTTCCCACACCATAAGACCAACAATTTGAAACAACATATTCAAATTTCGCTCAGAAGGAAAACGAAACTCTCTATCAAGCTTGAGAGCGTTTTAAAGATATGTTAAATCTATGTCCCCACCATGGATATGAAAGTTGGCGCCTCGTAAGCTATTTCTACGATGGACTCACAATCCGAGAGCGCCAATTTGTGGAGATGATGTGCAATGGGGATTTTCTCCAGAAGGATCCTGACGAAGCTATCGAGTACCTAAATGAGTTAGCTGAGAAAGCTCATACTTGGACTGGACTAAGTGCTACTGAGAGCACCAGTAGGTCCCGATCAGCTGGAGTTTATCAATTGAGGGAAGATGACAGCCTCAAGGCTCAACTTGAAGTTTTGACGAAGCAAATCGAGATCCTCAAAAGTAAAGATAGTAAAAGAATCCACATGGTAGCGAGGACAAAGACACATGAGCCATGTTTCGTTTGTAGTGGAGAGGGCCATCTAGCTCAAGATTGCCACACTTTAAGTGAAATAAGAGGGGTATACGAAGAGCAGTGCAACGCTTTGGGCGTATATAGAAAACCATATACACCTTTCTCAGAGACTTACAATCCTGGTTGGAAAAACCACCCGAACTTCAGTTGGCGAGATTCGAACCAACATGCACAATCATCTGAAAGGCAATGGGGATCAAAGCAACAATCTCAACCACCAAGGTCATATTTTGCGCCTCCGAATAACATGTAGCCGAAAAGGAATTCTCTAGAGAATACCCTAAAAGCTTTTATAGATGCGCAAAATAAGACGAATCAAAGGGTTGATTCAATGCTCATGCAGCTGTTGGAAGAGAACAAGGAAATAAAAAATCAGATCACAAAGCTGACAAAAGCTTTAACCGTTTAGGAACGCAATAAATTTTCATCACAAACCCAGTCCAATTTAAGAGGACAACACATGGCTCAAACTTCCAACTTTGAAAGTCAAAATACCAATGAAGTTAACGCCATCTCTACTCGAAGTGGTAAGAATTTGGACACGCCATCGACAAGTACAACCACTTCGAGTAATGAAGAATCAGCTCAGGAGAAAGAAGATCCAACAAAAGTTTCGGTAAAGGTGCATTTCCCCCAAGCTCTCTGACCTGCTGGGAAAGTGTCAGAAAATCAAAGTGAGATCCTGAAACACTTGACACAATTGAAGATCAATCTTCTCTTACTACATGTGATCAAGCAAGTGCCGGCATACGCCAAGGTTATCAAGGATCTGTACACTATAAAGAGAAAACACCATGTCAAGAAAACTGCATTCTTGACGGAACAAGTGAGCGCGATGATTGAGCAGAAGACACCGCTGAAGTACAAAGATCCTGCCTGTCCCACCATTTCTTGCACCATTGGGACACGAATTCGGCCAAGCATTGTTGGATCTTGGAGCGAGTGTAAACCTCATGCCTTATTCAGTTTACTCGCAACTTGATCTTGGAGAGATTAAGCAAACACTTGTAGTACTGCAATTGGCCGATTGATCCATCAAGAAACCACGTAAAATAGTTGAATACGTGTTATTGCAAGTTGATAAGTTTTACTATCCCGTGGATTTCGTTGTTTTAGACACTCAGTCAATGGTTGATGTAGAGTCAAAAATCTCGATCATCCTTGGAAGAGCATTCCTTGCGACAGCAAATGCCCTAATTAATTGTAGAAATGGTCATGAAGATCTCTTTTGGGAACATGACTCTCGAAAGTAAATGTTTTCAACGTTGTAAAACAACCACAAGGTGACGACGAGTGTCACCAAACATTCATGATCGACACACTTGTCGAGGAGGAGGTTCTGCCGCAAAGCAACTATGAAGACCTTGAAAACCTCCTCCAAAATTCTGATTCTGAAAATTCCAGTTCTGCTGAGTTGGCTCACTTGTCTGCAATTTTCAACAACTCACAGGACAGAGGAACCAAGTTTGGGCCACCATGTTTTGAGGAGCTCCCAACAGAAGGAAAAAAACTGAAATCATCCACTAAGGAGGCTCCAAAAGTCAAGCTAGCCCAATTACATGAGGGCTTAAAACATACGTTCTTGGGAGATGAAGGCACATTCTCAGTCATCATCTCGTCTAAACTCGATGCATTGTAAGAACAACGATTGTTCGACATGCTGAAAGAGCACAATTCCAGGATCTACAAGGCAAAAATGAAAATGGCTCATGACAAGCAGATCATGACGAAGAACTTCGAGCCAAATCAGCAAGTTCATCTCTATGATTCCCGTTTGCATCTCCACCCCAGTAAGTTGAGGTCGTGGTGGACTGACCCGTTCATACTGCCGTGCCCCTTTTGAACATGTGGATAGCGATATGGGCGAACATTCACTAGAGCCGTGCCCGGCTGCAACGTGATCCCGGTCTCGTCGGGGTGGCAACTCTGCCGGCCACTCGAATACCCGATCATACTGCCGCAGTAGTCCCTCCAATGGTGTCGACACTGGGTCCGAGCTACCTATCGCCGCTACCTCTAAACTGCCGAACTCCATCAGCACCCCTGAACCCTCCTCACGGATGGCTTTCATCATCGCCTTCAAGGAAACTAAGGAATTGCAAAGGCACCATCCAAAATCTCATAGTAAGCGTCTTCCAATTTACTTGCATACCCCCCAACGTCTCCAGCCACTTCATCCCCAATATGACGTCGGCACTCCCAAGTTCGAGGGGAAGGAAGTCCTCCATAACCTCTATGTTTTGTAACTTCAAGACCACTCCCTTACACAGGCCCTCCCCTTTCACAGTGAATCCCGTTCCCATCAACACTCCATACCCATTGGTCGGCACTTGTGGGATGGCCAATCTCTCCACGAGATCGGTGGAAATGAAATTGTGGGTGGCCCCACAATCAATCATCACCACTACTTCCTGCTGTGCAATCCGGCCCTTCACCTTCATAGTCTTCGGGCTAGTTAACCCCACCACAGAGTTGATTGAGAGCTCCACCATCTCTTCAATTACTGGTTCCTTGGGGGCTTCCTCGATGCCATGTCCCTCCTCCCCGTCAGGCCCCTCAACCTCATCGTTAACTACTAGGACATGCAACTCCTTATTCTTACATCAATGCCCGATCGAATACTTTTCATCACAACGAAAACATAGTCCTTTTTCTTTCTTTTGTTGAAGTTCAGAATCAGTTAGGCGTTTGAATGGAAGAGTAGGTTTCGGCCCCGGAGGTCTTACCTAGCCATGGACAGGCCTTGGGATTGAAGGGAGCTGGGCATACATGCTTTGGCCATACGTCAGTGTTAGGTGTCGAGTATTGTTTGGATTTCCCATCACCCTCGCCGGACGCAACATCAAGTTTCGGTCCTCCACCCGCTGCACTAACTCCATAATTTTCGCTAATCCGATAGGTCGCATCATTCTCACCTCAGTGCGTATTTCCGATTTGAGGCCGTTAATAAACGTGCTCTCCAAAACTTGCTCCGGAACCCCCATAAAGGGCGCTGCTAGGACCTCAAATAGGCGCCAAAATTCCCGGACCGACCCCTCCTGACGCAAGGCTAGAAACTTCTCGCAACTCGACCCCTCTTGAGTCACCCGGAAGCGATCCAGTAGATTCGACTTCATTTCCATCCAGCTTCTCATGGGTCGACGTCCTTCCTCCCACTGGAACCAGGCTAGCGCCTCCCCGTCCAAGGCGATCGCCGCTGCGGTCAACTTCTCCTCTTCGATCAAACGATTAAGGGTGAAGTAGTGTTCTATCTGATAGACCCATCCCTCCGGGTTCACACCCTCAAAGACCGGCATCTCCAGGCGATGAGATGGACAATCCCCTTTCAGAATCCCCTCGCGACCGCCACTCGACCCCCTCCCGGACTTTCCCCTCCCCTAAACGGTGCCGTTGACCCCGAAGGCGGAGTGGGTGCCGATATACCCCCCTTTACCGCCGTTGGACCCATATCCGTCAGTAGATCTGACTCCCTCGCCTTCCCCTTGTCCGCCGGTGGGGCGTCTACCCGTACCAATTCCTCCATCTTCTGGAGAACCTGCTCTAAACGTTCAAGGCCCGTGATCTTCTCCAAGCTCTTCTCCAACACATCCAACTTTAGCAATCCCCCTTGAACCTACTCGAACCGCTCCTCCACCGCCGAGATCCGTGTATCCACTGTCTCCGGCTGCGATTCGCCCTGACCTGCCCCTCCTGCCTCAGCCCTGCCTCCTGGTTTCCTGTTATTCGCCATCCCCAAATCGAGATGCTCTCATACCAAAATGATAAGCTCGAACTAAGTAGAACGAAGACAAGCAGAAAACAACGAGAAATCAAGAGAGATAGAATGAAAACAACTTGTATTGATACTGGTTTTTCCCAAGCACCGATACAGACTCGCATGGACATTCGAGAGGTCCAGCACTCTCCCCCTTTCAGTCACTTACCACACGTCACCCAGCATTTAGCGCATCTACTTGGCACGCCTGGCATATGTAAACCGAATTGGGGGCTTATCAGCTGTGTAGTGTACCGTTCTTAGGGTGCTATTCATAGTTGTTTTTGAGTGGGAAATACCTGATTTCCCTAACATGTCAAACAACCAGTAAGCCTTAAAGAAAAAAAAAAACAAACAAACAAACAAAAAAGAGGAAAAAAAAATAAAAAGACAGTAAGCTCATATGTTAACTACCACTAAAGTACACCTCTTACTGACAGGTATTGATTTAGGTCACAAAACAAATTATGTATGTGAAAAAAGTCGGATCCTCCCATCAGATGCTTTAAAAGAAGATTTTACATTATATGTGTTGCAGCTGAACCAAAAAAGGACTAATCATATAATTTTGGTTATACAACCTATAGCAAAAACCAAACATCAAGAATATTTCTAAAGATGAGCAGGGTAAACTAATGCACAAAAGTAGAAGCAATATCACAAACTGCTTTTGAAATGTATCAACACCAACATAAACAAGGCTTACTGGGAATCCGCTTCTAGGCCCTCACTGCCAAGCTCAGTAGCATCAGCATTTCGTTGTGTATGTAAACCTTCAATTCTTTCATCAACTGATACATTACGTACTCTTTGCTGCGTCAGTTGTTCAACATTCCCACCATTATTCCCATCTCTAGGAAGTAAAAAATCACTTAGGCTGAGACGTGAGCATATGAAAATAACCCACTTGCGCAAGAGGACTTTAAATGTTTTTGATGGATAGTAAAAGCGCACGGTACATGGAGAAATGAAAAAGGGACCTTCTTAAAACTACAGCAGAAACAGTTTTTGCTTCTGAATAACTGCAATAAAGTGCAAATCCATACGTTACATAAAGCAAGAGGCATTAAAATATATATATATATATGCATGTTGTACATATTGTTACAAATAGAAAATGAGTCACTTACAAAAGATTGAGTGGGAATGCGGATGGCAGATAGAAAAGGACTAATTTGATAGGTAAAAACACCAGCATCACGATCAAACTACCATGAACACCAACAAGTAACAAAATGTCACGAGCATACGTAAGAAAAAATCAGAACCAATCACACGTCAAAGAGCCTAAAACTACGTTTTAGCAGGAAATGTTTTTCAATCACGTCCTCTATTTTTACCTTGGTTCCTCAAAGTAGTTAGGCTGTACCTTGTTCTGCTACAAAGAAATAAGTAAATGTAAATAACGTAAGAAAAAATCAGAACCAATCACACGTCAAAGAGCCTAAAACTACGTTTTAGCAGGAAATGTTTTTCAATCACGTCCTCTATTTTTACCTTGGTTCCTCAAAGTAGTTAGGCTGTACCTTGTTCTGCTACAAAGAAATAAGTAAATGTAAATAACGTAAGAAAAAATCAGAACCAATCACACGTCAAAGAGCCTAAAACTACGTTTTAGCAGGAAATGTTTTTCAATCACGTCCTCTATTTTTACCTTGGTTCCTCAAAGTAGTTAGGCTGTACCTTGTTCTGCTACAAAGAAATAAGTAAATGTAAATAACGTAAGAAAAAATCAGAACCAATCACACGTCAAAGAGCCTAAAACTACGTTTTAGCAGGAAATGTTTTTCAATCACGTCCTCTATTTTTACCTTGGTTCCTCAAAGTAGTTAGGCTGTACCTTGTTCTGCTACAAAGAAATAAGTAAATGTAAATAACGTAAGAAAAAATCAGAACCAATCACACGTCAAAGAGCCTAAAACTACGTTTTAGCAGGAAATGTTTTTCAATCACGTCCTCTATTTTTACCTTGGTTCCTCAAAGTAGTTAGGCTGTACCTTGTTCTGCTACAAAGAAATAAGTAAATGTAAATAACGTAAGAAAAAATCAGAACCAATCACACGTCAAAGAGCCTAAAACTACGTTTTAGCAGGAAATGTTTTTCAATCACGTCCTCTATTTTTACCTTGGTTCCTCAAAGTAGTTAGGCTGTACCTTGTTCTGCTACAAAGAAATAAGTAAATGTAAATAACGTAAGAAAAAATCAGAACCAATCACACGTCAAAGAGCCTAAAACTACGTTTTAGCAGGAAATGTTTTTCAATCACGTCCTCTATTTTTACCTTGGTTCCTCAAAGTAGTTAGGCTGTACCTTGTTCTGCTACAAAGAAATAAGTAAATGTAAATAACGTAAGAAAAAATCAGAACCAATCACACGTCAAAGAGCCTAAAACTACGTTTTAGCAGGAAATGTTTTTCAATCACGTCCTCTATTTTTACCTTGGTTCCTCAAAGTAGTTAGGCTGTACCTTGTTCTGCTACAAAGAAATAAGTAAATGTAAATAACGTAAGAAAAAATCAGAACCAATCACACGTCAAAGAGCCTAAAACTACGTTTTAGCAGGAAATGTTTTTCAATCACGTCCTCTATTTTTACCTTGGTTCCTCAAAGTAGTTAGGCTGTACCTTGTTCTGCTACAAAGAAATAAGTAAATGTAAATAACGTAAGAAAAAATCAGAACCAATCACACGTCAAAGAGCCTAAAACTACGTTTTAGCAGGAAATGTTTTTCAATCACGTCCTCTATTTTTACCTTGGTTCCTCAAAGTAGTTAGGCTGTACCTTGTTCTGCTACAAAGAAATAAGTAAATGTAAATAACATAAGAAAAAATCAGAACCAATCACACGGCAAAGAGCCTAAAACTACGTTTTAGTGGGAAATGTTTTTCAAATTTCAATCACGTCATCTATTTTTACCTTCGTTCCTCAAAGTAGTTATAGTACAAGGCACGGGTAAGAGTAAAAGTGACTAATGATAACAGTAAAAGCGACTAACCTAAACATTTGAAACCTACAGAGTAATAGTAAACGCGACTAACACTGAAAGATTAACCTTACAACCTTGAAATGAATCAACTAAAAGTGAATTTTAGAACCCCCCCCCTTTTTTTTTTTTTTTTTTTTTTTTTGGGAGTGGCAGGATGGAAGCAGCAAATATTAATGGGCAAAAATGACCAAAAAATAATGGGAGAAAAAACCACAATTGGAGAAAATAAGATATCTAATGAAAAGCTCGAATAACTAAAGAAATTCCAATAAAACGAAAACAATAAGAGTTAGAGACAATACAAGTCACGAGACATGCTAGGAGGCCTAAACAAAAAACAGAATAGAAATTAGTATAAACGGTAGTAGAAAAGAAGATAACATGCTTACGACAAATGCATTCTCATCAAATGGGAAAAAGGGAGCCGGCAAATTGACAAGCTCATTAAGGAGTTCATTTTCCACAATACCAAGATAATCCATAATACGAACAACCGAAATCCTCCACCAATTAGCGAGAAATTCTAGACTTCTTTTAATGGTAAGAAGAACTTTAGCGATTCCTTGCCTTCCACCAACATTTTCCCCATTCTCATTTGCAGCAAAAATCCTATTAGCCAAACCAAAATCTCCTCTTGGGTCTAGCCGAAGAACAACTCTGATAAAAGTAATCCCAAGAAATACATACGCCATTCCAAGTGAAAGAAAAAAACCATATAGACAGTCCTTGAAAATCGCGGTGGCATAAAGATGACTTATAAACAGACTTTGTGCTTCACCAAAACCCTTGCAGAAAGAAAATTCCCAAATCCAATGTGTAACGAATGGAATTACGACGAGCCAAACAAGAAAAAGATACACAAAGTGCTGTAATATTCTGAACAGCCAAAAAACTATTGCAGCAAGCCCAAGTACAAACTCCCAAGGAGAAAGCCTTGCCGGAGGATTCGTTGCGTAAATTGGGGCATATACAAATTCATGCTTGCAAACCTGCAATAGTTCCAAAATATATGGCCGGGAAAAAAAAAGTATCATCATGCTCTTATCAAAAGAAGAACAAATTCTTATACATGCCAATAGATGAGACGGGTTTCTACTTTATAGGCAGGCATGAAAAACCGCAATCGGGGTCAAATTTATAATACACTCGCAGAGTCAGGAATTAATATTCATCCTCGGTACAGTGTATAGAAATGGTTTCAATAGTTTTGTTTTTTTTTTAACCTTCTTTTAAAGGCTTTGGTCTAGTCCTCCTCTAATAATACTACTTTTTCAAGTTCTATTTCCAATCTTTGTGAGGTTTCTTGGGAAAGAATGGTAAACGAAGCAGTACATTAACTTTGAAAAATCCCGAATATCTCCAATACCAAACACATTGTAGTGTACCAAAAAAAAAAAAAAAAAAACCTACTAACGAAGATCATAATGCTCACTACCTTTAACTAAAGAACTGGATTTCAAACAAAAAGAGAAGAAAAGGTAATTCGAAGAGGATAAAGAGAGGAAAGCGAAGAAGACGATACCTCGCAATGGGAAATCTTACGGTGATTGAGCCACTGAAGGAGACAATCTTGGTGGACGTACTTTATGGTACCACGGCAAGCGCAGGGGTACCGGAGAGGGTTTCCCTCCTCGCCGGGATTTCGGCATATCCTACACTCGTTCTCCTCCACCACGCTTCCGCCGACATCGGCCGTATCCGCCGCCGCAGAATCTTCCATTTCCGGCAAGGCGATCGTCGATCGTAAGGTTTTGGCCTCTCGTAGCTATGGTTCTCTGGCTCTCTCTCTCTCTCTCTATGTTTCTCTCTCTCTGGAATCCTTTCTCCCTCGCGAGGGAAGAACATATGCATACGAAAGGTACTGTCAGCAATGGGATACTCATACGACAAAGTGAGTTTTTTTTTTCTTTTTTTTTTCTGGGGGAAAGCGCCAGGAAGATAAAGTGAGGGCTTTGTTTCTCTACTGCTACGTTTTATTATACGAATAAAGAAGCCAATAGAAAACCGCCACCTCATTCGTTTACACGTGTCCTTTTCAGACGGTCAAATCTTTTTTTTTTTTTTTTTTACTACCGTATTTCCATCACTAGCTTTGATTTCCATTTCCATCAGTAGCTCGATGCTAAAAGGCAAGGCACTGATCTTGTGCCCTTTTCAACGGTCGTAACTATCGTCGCTCGGTCACAATTGTAGCCAAAAATAAAATAAACAAAAAAATAAGTTTTTTCCTGATAATTTTTTTAATGGAAAATTATCCCGATAAATTTGAAACAAATTAATGTCTCGTTCATTTTATCAATTTTAATTTTTAATTTTAAATTTTTACAGTAAAAAATTTTAAAAAATGTCACATTTAACTTTTTTTGTTACAGTATAAAGTTCTCAAAAAATGTCACATCTCAGCTCAAATTAAAAATTTAAATCCGTGAAGTGAATGATGCCAAAATGAGAATTTGTTCTTTGTTCAACCGAAAGATACATCACAAACAAAGTTACTAGCTAATAAATATGAAAGGAATCAAATGAGAAATTTTGTTCTTTTATTTCTTTTTTAACTGAGAGATATATTACAAATGTAGATGATTTTTTTTTTAATTACTGATGTCAACTTTAATTAAAAATATTTTTTATTAAATACGATAAGATACCTAATTAACTTTATCCCCATTGCATTGTTTTTCTTTTATTTTAAACTTTTACCGATTTGATTAAATTTACATGTCTTTATTAAATATAATTGGTTAGATAAGATAATCCAACAAGTTTTTATACTTTCAGCTTTGCCAAATGGGACTCGTAGTGTATATATTTCCCTAAAAAAAATAAAAAATAAAAATAAAAGGAGGCCATCTTAAGACAAGCTCAAAACTAAAGAACGCGTTTGAAACTCGTTTTAAAATGATTTTATTTTTTGTATGAAAATGAAAATGAAAACGTTTTCAATCTCAGACAGAAATCATTTTTAAAAATACGTTTAGTAATTTTATTAAGAGATTGTTTTCAATATAAAAAAAAAAAAAAAAAAAAAAAAAACTCATTAATGTCTCTCTCTATGCTCGAGAGAGGAGAAAACGAAAATAAAAAATAAAAAACGACTAAAAGTCATTTTTCATTTCTCTCATTTTACACTAAACTCAAAAATCGTTTTCATTTCAATTTTTTACCTTTATTTCACCAAACATCATTTTATGCATTTATTGCATTAAACGTCGTTTTAGGAACATTTTCATTTTTTCTTTCTCAAAAAATGTGAAAAATAAAAATGATATCAATTTCAAACACGGCCAAAGTGTCCTTGCTTTGGAGTTTAACATAAAATCATGGGAATTATGAATTATGTACAATTAAGATTGAGATGAGTCGAAGTGTATAAATATAGTAATGATTTGCAACTTAAGAAGCAAAGCCCTTTTCCAAGGAAGGCACCCCACAAAATTTCATCTCCGCCTTACTGTTCTATAAAATCCTAGCACGTTTGAGACCCACTTTCATGTATAATCTGCAACAAAAGAAATAAGTTGATCAGTTTAACTTGCACAGATAATAGTTGAGGCAATTGAGATGAAAAAGTTATTCTTGTTAACATACTCTTCCAACGTTCATAAAGAACTACATTGATATTATCCTGTTAGGTAGTGGAAGAGAGAGAGAGAGAGAGAGAGAGAGAGAGAGGAGAAGAAGAAGAAGGAGGAGGAGGAGGCATAATTAACAGAGAAAAGTGAGAGCCCTAAGCAATTAACTAGGAACATGCTCGGGGGTGCCACGTGGTGCTCAGCACCACTAATACCCCTTGCATTGTTCATTAGCTAGAGGGCAAAATAATGAAAACAAATAAATGGTGAAATATGTAGGAGAGCGAGACACAAATTATGTCAAAATTCTGCAAGAAATGAAAACTAATAAAGAAAACATAAGTGGGTGGGTTTTTTAGTCTTAAGATTACCATCAAATACAAAGTGCACCCATGTCAGGAGGCCCTCCACCAGAGCCACCGCAGGCCGATGCGATTTTAACAGTCGCTCCCTTCTTGCCATGCTTCCTCTCTCTTCTGGCCTTTCTAGAGTCGATCGTTTGGTTACTGATACAGCAAAATATGAATTAGTTTTTATTTCTTTTTAGTTAATAAATATGATGTTTTTAATGTGTGGGAGAGGAAATGTATCATACTGTGCCTAAATTTAGTAAAATGTAAGTCAGAGTTGACATATTTATTACTGGTAAATACAGATTGTGAGTAGTTATAACTAATTAAGACATTAAGTAGCTTATCTAAACCTCAAAGAACTGATAGAAGGGCCAAAAAAACATACACTACAATCTTATTAGAAGATCTCCCAATGACTGATCCACAACAAGCTTTATGCTTCTTTCTTGAGCCACATGGGCAGAGCTGGTTTCTTGAGATCTTCTGCAGTAATGAAGACGATAATCGTAATCACAAATAATTAACAAATCAGTGTGGACTCAGTATACTCCACTACAAAAGTTAGAGGTGAAAAAAAAAATCTCTCTCACTTTCATAATTAAATAAACCTTACTTCTGGCTGGGAACTGCTATTATCATGAGCGAGACTGTTGCTGCTGCTAGCAACATCCTGTTGGAAGGTCTCCTCCACTTGTTCCATTTCTTGTGCGTCTTTTCCATTTTCATCGCATCTGGAAATTATTATATGAAGCAAGGTTAGTAAAATATTGAGCGTTGATCAAAGCTGAATTAAGGTGACTCCTATATAAATAGATGGCAAATGAGGCAGAAGCGAGACTACATAAAGATGAGAGAACAAGCATATAGGCATACTTCATCCTCAAAAGACGACAACAAAGAACATTGTGATGCAACAGAGCAAAGAATAAAAGGAGAGGGAAATCTAGAAAACTCTCCTTCTAGCGAGGGAGCATAAATGAAGCATTTGTCTTATCCACAAACTGATCGTCAAACTCGTTTTTTCCTATCAGATTCCGTGGACAGATCAGGAGCAGACCACCAAAGTGCCTTCGCTAATTTGAACTTGTGTTGTGAAGTATTAATTACAAAGGACATCATGGAAAAATCAGCAAACAAAGTACTAACATTACTTGGTGGAGACGTCTTAATAAAATCAACCAGGAGGAAAGAATTACATACGGGCCATTACAAGGGGAATTATCTGTCTGATTAGAAGGTGAATTAGGTCGCTCTGAGCACTCTTCTGTTCTTTGCTCTGCGACCAAAAACTCTATAGCAGCATTGACGTCACCATCTACTTCTCGTAAAACCTGATTTAAAACCAGCTTTTTCTTAGAAAACCTCAAAGCTCCACAAGTTTTAATCACACTATCCAAACAGGTTATACAAGAAATTGATAACTGACATATACGGCAACCCAATAGGAAAAGGCATATAGATATACGCCTTCGCATATAGACAGACATACTTGCGCATACATATAGAGCAATTTATCACCTGTTCAACTCTTTCAGCATTTTCACAACCTGTTCCTGCAATAACCAATTTGATGGATCCAGCATTTATGATATTCTTGGCAGCTCCCCCTTTGGACTTGCCATCCGCAACTTTTTCTTGATGAGATTTCATGGAAATATCACCATCAGCCTTTTACAAACTAGAAGTTATTAGGCCCTTACTAGTAAAAAAAATAATCAAACTCAGACCTATTCTGACATGAAATTGTAATTTAGAGAAAAAGAGGAAAACAAAATGTAGAACCTGGATTACGATAGGCCTAGCTGGCCCCTCACAAGAGTCTTCCTTCAATCGCACACTATTATAATGCTCACCATCGTGATAAGATCTGGAAAAAAATAAAATTACAGATAAAAAATAAACAATCATACTGCAGAACTACAATGCCATGGTTACTGAACATAATGATATCACACGCACACATATCTGATTTTCCAATGTAAGTCGGAAGATGCAACATTATGTATTCATTAGTCTATCTTTCAATATTACCCTTCTACCATCTTCATTACCATTAACAATGCAACAAGTGCTCAAAAAGTGTAGCTCAACATAGAATCGTGAAAGCCCGTCAAGAGCTAGAAGTACATTACATTAGTCCGTAGCTTACCGGTGACCATTAAAGAAAATTCATTGCATTAGATAGCCCAATTTTTTTTTTAGAAAAAATGATGATACAAAAAAGACCGTCAAGAGCTAGAAGTACATTACATTAGTCCGTAGCTTACCGGTGACCGTTAAAGAAAATTCATTGCATTAGATAGCCCAATTTTTTTTTTAGAAAAAATGATGATACAAAAAAGAAAAAAAAAATCAGTTACGAAAATTCTTACTACTGAGTAGTGAGTCTAGTTCATGCATATGACACAAAAGTACCTTGCTATCCCTCATGCCATATAATGTTTTGGAAAGAAAAGAAAGTCTTACAAGAGATCCAAATTATCTAGAGGATCCTTACATCACTATCAGCTTATTAAGGGAAAAAGTTTAGGATTCCATAACAATGGTACACAATCCTAACAGGCTGTTTAACACCTTCTCTATAGTCTAAAAATGAGCCAAAAAGTGCAGTACAATCATGATCAAGAATTTGGAATACTTACAAATGAACCATACCAACCCCACGATCATCAAAGTTCCGTATATACCATCGAGGAGACATGCTCTACATGAAATAAAGAATTGGACGTGTTGAAAATCTACAAACGGCTAATGAATTATTATGCACGGGATAATATGAGGGAACTGGTTTTTACACATTTACAAGTATATTCATATCACAGTAATGACATGTAATCATGTTGCCAAACAATACTCGCAAAAAACAATACTACGTTTTTCAATCACTATAATAGACATTAATAGTGCAAAGCTTAAGCAACTTTCCTATTTGAAAGCTAAAAAGTACTTTTCTTCCACACTACACTATCTACAGTTGTCCACATACAACATAAAAGAAATCGCAAACTATAAGGGTTCACCAAAAATTAGCCTAAAAATACTCCCAGAAAGCATCAATTAATAAATAATTAGTTAGTCAATTTGAAGAAAAAAATATATCATACAAAATTATGGAGATTGTAGAAAGTTCGAACCATAAGTTTTTAAAGTTATCAAATATGACACTCATATAGAAATTTTATATTAACAGTACCGATATAGACATGAATTTTATCGATTGTAGATTTATGAGACTCTTTAGATCATTTCAATTCTTAGCAAGAAGAGTGCAAGGGAAAAAAAATTAAATGGAACACAGTTAAGGACCCACCCTGTGAATGCATATGTTAGTACGCGTCACAAGAGAAGCTGCCTGCAATTCCATGTGTCCAGCCCATGTACCATCCTTCTCCATGGATTGGCAATATTCCTCAAATGGAACATCATCTTCAATAAATGGCTCAAACATTTCACGATTCCTCTGTTGATTAGAATTACCAAGACATTAGAACACTTACAAGTTGATTTTCAGTACAGAATTTCTTTTTTCCCGAAAATTATCAGATTCAAGTACCAAAATATATTGTACCACCATACTGCGATATTTTACATACTCCTCTTCGTCACCTTCTAGTTGATCAGCAAGAGCCCTGAACATAAAAAACGAAGTTAGAAATACAGCACTAAAAATTATCAATACAATACATTCATTTTATTGCCAAGGATGATGGGTCGCATAAATATTTTACGGAACATATACTTTAGTACTTAATCAACACGTGCATACATTTAACTTTTAAGATGACCTAACAACATATGTGATAATGCTCAAAGAAGTATGATAAAAGTATCCATAGAATGTAATAGTTGGAATTAACGAAGGTCACTAATTAAACACTGACCTGAAGAAGCAATTACCATCTGCAGTCACTTGAATAATTTTTAGGCCCAATGCATCAAGCTGTGCACGGAACTGGGAAATATCAGCCTGTTTTCCTTGCTTTTTGATCTGTCCACAGTCCACCAAACAAAATTCTGTTAGCTACTCATTACAGGAGAACCTAAATGGTATACCTATGTAAAGTCATTAAATTTCAGCTCTGGCTAAGGTTTACTGGAGAAAAATCACTTTATCACAATTCATAAGAACATTAAAAATTCTTCCTAAGATGGTATTACTCACTTAAGAATTGTTACAAGGAGACTTTATTTCATTTTCATATATTTAGATCTATCTTTTCCCATCAGCCTCAGTTATATCCCTTTCAAGGCTTTCCTTAAATCCTCCAGTTAAATTCAATTCACAATCCGATAATTTTACACCCAAGTCAATCGAAAACCATCTCAAATGACATGTCACATAACCTACCTACATTCCTCTTTCATATTAATTCTCAACAATGTCTCCTCAAAGGCCCCCAACTTATGCAACACAATCTTTGGAACTTGATAAACTCCCAACCCCCCGCCCAACCCATCCCGCGACAAGAAGGTAGATGCAGTACGCCAACTTCATTCCTTTTGCTCGAAGCTACCAAAAAAAAGTCTACAAATCATGTCCACAAGGACCACAACAACACAACTGGCTAGTACTTGTAATATTTTGATTTCCCAACAATGCGCTCCAACAAGCACAGTGGACCTAGTCCTAGTTATTAAAAGATTCAACGAAGCAAATCTGAACCCTTTAACCTCGGGTATTGGCAATCATAAGTTTCAGCCATGAAAAAAAATCTATACCCTTTAACCTCTAGTCTAAATCATTAAAAGTTTCAGCCAATAAAATCTTAACCCATTAACCTACTTCAACCCCATCTTATTCTCGGACCACCTCATCAATGGCTCAACAAGAAACTATATTAAGATTGTTGAGCGCTTGGAGCCCAATTATTTTCATGACGCAAAGACACATTGAATCTGAGAGATATAAGATTAGGAACAGCTGAAAGTGGATGTACCTTTTACATTGAGTGTGAACCACTTATATCTATTTGTTGTTTTCTACGTTTCTTTTTATACTAAGAAATCCCTCAAGCCACTTTATGAGCCGATTTAAAACTGGAGCCCTCTGCCAAACCTTAAAATCTTTGGAATGCATGAAACTATGACCCTTACGGAAACAATCTTTGTTTCCTACGATGTTATTGCTCTCGGTAATACAGAATGAAAGAATTTAATTCTTAAAAAAGTATCCCTCCGCCCTAAATATCTATGCCACAAAATAATTACTAATTCTTAGAGCCACCTTTTCCACATTCCATGCCTTTCCTGCATTAGTTTGTTTTGGCTGGAAATTCGATCTATCTGTAATAGTCACACCGAAACGAATAACAGAAAAGCGAAAAATCGGAAACAGATTAAGGGCCAGTTTGATAGTATTGTTGATTTTAGAAAAATTATTGTCAGTTGTGCTAAAAAAATAATTGAGTGTTTAGTAAACTGTAATTATACAAATATTAATTTTAAAGGTATTATGAGTATTATGAAAGTTTCATTAATTGTACTTAAAAATAATTATCGCACGATTTAAAAATTAAAATTACTTTTGGTATGCTTCTGATTTTGACCGTAAATTCTTCAAATATTCTTTAAGGATCACTTTTTATATTTTTTACCGAACACAAATTTAAATGGTTAGAGAATTGATTTTGAGCTCCAAGAATCACTACCCAACATTTCTACCAAAAACCACCAGAACCAATCAAGGTAATGAAATTGCGGAGCTAGGGTTAAAAGTTTCTCCTAATGCCGAACCAGTAACTGAGCCAAATTCAATGAGAAATTCTTTTTTATTTTTTTTTTAAAGTGGATTAATCCTTTTTCCTGTGTATTTTCTCAATTTGACAAGCAAAGATTCGAGCGGAAGAGAAAATCTGAATGGATTAGGAAAGAAGAAATGACTTACGTTAGATTGTTTCTTGGCTTTGGATTTTTGATGCTTCGTCTTCACCATCTTAACGTAATCCGAAATCGACTTGGTCGATAGTTCACTCACGGCTCACACTCGGTAATCAATAGATATTGGTTCTCCGTTAATTGAGGGTGAAAAGGAATTCAAAAATACTGATATTAAAATTATCGCTCAAATAAAATAAGGTGAGAAAAATTACAAACTGATTTGTACGTGGGTTGGGATTTCCTCTATTAAGTCAAGTTAGACGTGAATTAGGAAAACTGCTAAATGACTTTTTTTTTAGTCTCTTTTAAAAAAAAGATCGGACTCTTTTTATACTGGTTCAATATTAATTTATCAAATAAATTTATAATTTGTTGATTAAAATTAATTAATTATTAATTAATTTTAGTTAATTGTTAACTGATATGAATAAAAATTATTAAGTTAATCAGTAATAAATTAAAATTAATTATTAATATATCGTTAAATTTATCAATAATTGACTATTAAGTCAATCAATAATTAACCGTTAAGTTAGATGTAATTACATTAAGTTAGGGTAAATTTTACATTTGTCCCTAAATTATGTCACTTATGTCATTTTATACTCATTTATTAAAATACACCACTTCATCCCCTTAAATTTTGTTTTGTTAGCAAAATATCTCTTTCCATTCAATTTTCGTTAAATTTGATCATTTTTCATTGATTTGACCATAATATAATAAGCTAATAAAATAAATAAGTCACTATATTGATTGTTAGTAAGTGTGGTATGAAAATGAAAATAACCCTAGTAACTATTAACTAAAAACAAAAGAATATAGTCTTATTTTACCTATTACAGCCGTTTTTGGTAGAAAGGAGTGGTGCATTTTTTAAGTCTGAGGGATAAAGTACATAGTTCAGAAAGCAAATATAAAAATTATCCGTTAAAAGCTCGTTCATTTTACCCATTTAAGTTTTCAATTTTAGATTTTTACAGTAAAAAATTTTTAAAAAATGTCATTTTTTTTTTATTACAGTGAAAAACTATCAAAAAATGTCACATTTCAACTCGAATTGAAAACTTTTTCTGACTTTTATTTTAAGAAAGTTCCTATTATAGTTGATTGAACGATGTTTCCCCATTAATTACCCTGAACCTGCTTTGCTCAATTACCTGTACTAAACAGAAGGTAAAAACTTAAGCAAATGAAAATAGTTTCAAAGAGCAGCTTCAAAATTAGCTCAACAAGAGAAAATGAAATTCACATCATTCAGGGATAATATGAAGGAAAAGCCAAAATGGGGAAAAACCAAATGAAGGAAAAACTTCGACATTGTTTCAACTTCAAAACCAAAATGAAGGAACGGAAAAGCCCCCATTGCCTGATACAAATTTATCCAACCGAATAAAAGGAAAGAAAAAAACAAAAGAAGAAGACAAAAAGGAAAGTAAAAGAATTCCTAAAAAATCTGAAAAACGAAAAATAAACCATTTGAGTTGTCCTTCCTTTGCAAGCTACACACATGCAACAGCTTTAGGGAGACGTTTGGTTCATGGATTAGAATCATGAGATTAGAACTATTTTTTATTTACGTGTATTTTTTGTGAGAGAAAATGTTATAACGAACTATGAACCATGATTCGAATCAGGGTACGAATCCCCTTACCAAACGTTACCCTAGATATAAAAACTAAAAAGCAATTATATAAGGTACCGATGATGTTTAGGTGATAGAATGAGAGTCTCTTTCTAGGCCATTATTTGAAATCATTCAATTAGTGAAAAGATTCAACACATCAAATTCAAGTTAAAAAAATGTTTTACTCCCAAAAAGAAATTACTAAAAAATTGTAAAATTGACAATGTAGTAATTAGATACATAATTATCATTTATCTTTTCAACTCTTCTTCCCTCTTACTAAACAATACAAACGATTACTATAATCCTCTACATCATTCACAATAATTGTCCCTCTAACTATCTAGAGTTTAAAGTGTGTTTAGTTAGATGAAGAGATACAGACAGGCTGTGAGAGGAGTAGGGGGAGAGATTCAAACCTTTATTCCGTTACGCTCCTTCCAATGATGGAAGGATCTACCAAATCCATCACGGTAAAAATTAACAAGATGACTTTACCTTCTAAAATACTTTATTAGCACATAATAAAATAGACAGTATAATAATTAGATAAATATTTATCATTCATCTTTTCAATTCTCTTTCTTTCATAACAAACAACTTAAAAGATTGCTATAATACTCTTCATACGTATTCTTGATCCCTTCAATTCTTTACGTCCTTCTTACTCTCTATCAGTCTAACTAAACAAAGCCTTTAGTTGAGTGGATAAATTTTTGTCATCCGTAAAAACTTGTTGCACCACGTTATTCCACATCTAAAGAAGTGTTGCCCCGTTCACTTCGCTGATTCGAGTTTAGAATTCGAGTTTTTCTACAGTAAAAAGCTCTCACAAACAATCACATCTAACTTTTTTGCTACAGTAAAAAGCTCTCACATAAAATCACATCTCAACTCAAATTTTAAACTCGAATCAGCGAAGTGAACGAGGCCACGACTTTTTAGATCGTCTCTTTCTCCCTCCCTTCTCGCTTCCCCATGCTACCCACACTCCTAACCCGGATGCCATTTGCTACAAGGAGATATCTAAGCGCAATATCATTTTTACATGGGGAAATCCGACGTATTTAATTCGAGTATGAAAGCTGCAAACCTATACACGGTAACAAGATAAACGTCTGTTTAGTTCGCTGATTTGAGTTTTTAATTCGAGTTAAAATGTGATTTTATATAATAATTTTTTACTGTAATAAAAAAGTTAGATGTTACAGTTTTTGAGAGCTTTTTACTGTAGCAAACTCAAATTCTAAACTCGAATCGGTGAAATGAACAGAACTTTAATGTTTATGTGCCCTCGCGACCTTATGACATCATCACAGCAAAATATGTAGATTTGTGTGCAGCTCAATGAGAACAGGATCTGCAAATTCGAACCTATGCATGATCGTCACTGCGAGGAACTTAACTCACAACCTTGCACTGACGCGAAAAGATCGACCGTGTAGCAACCTAAGAAGGTGATATTAAGAGTCCGTTTGGTAACGTTTTCAAAATGATTTTGTCTTCAATACAAAAGTAAAAATGAGATTATTTTGAGAATCTTTTTAAGACCGATTCTGTAATTGTGTATGATTAGTTTTTTAAGAGATTATTTTGAGTATGATAAAAAAGTGAAATCGTGTTTGGTTATAATTATTAATTAATATATTATAATATTGTTGATAAGTACTATAAAATGAAAACGAAAAAAGAAAAATAACTTTCAACCATTTTCTAATTCCTTTATAAAAATTATTCTCACTGTTTTTTGTTTTCAAAACATTTTCTAAACAAACATAATTTGCAGACCGTTTTTATTTTTATGCCTAAAAAAATGTGTAAAAACGTTTTCATTTTCATGCCTCAAAAGCCGTGTAAAAATGTTTTAAAAAACAAATAAAAATCAATTCAAAACGTACCCTAAGATTCAAGTAGCAAAGTGACCTTTGTTGTGCTATTCATTTCCGCTACAACATGACCGTGTCGTGAAATATGTCATCAATGTTTCTTTGCGATTTTCTTACATATTTTGCTTTTTATGCAGTTAGTTTTTATATTGTTCTTCAATAATTCAGTGAGAGAATCACTGAGTACCAAATTTTTTTAAAAGATTACATTAGGATCGACCCCAAAGTATCATGGTAGGATATGATCGGTCTTCGACTAGAAACTGCAAAGTATTATGGTGGGATACTAGCGGTCTCCACCTAACTACCATTAGGGAGCATGATTTGTATTTTAAAATTAGTGGTGTTACATTTTCTAGAAAGGGGCATATCCAAACCTCAGAGGTGACGTCGATGATGAACAAAGGGGAGAGAGAGAGAAACAATAATCAAGAGAGGACCGTAGATAGAGAGAACGGTGAAATCGATGACGAAGTGAGAAGACATATAAAAAGAGAGACGAGCGAGAAGGAAAAAATAAGAGGGGAGAGAGTAGAAAGCACATATTAGAAGAGAGAAGGAGAGAAATAAGGGGAAAAAATAAACAACAACAAGAATTAAAAAGAAAAAAGAAAAATAGCATGCATTTGTTTGTATGAGCAACCCTAACTTAAATTTGATAATTAGGTAAAGTGCACCAAAAAAAAAAAAAAAAAAAATCAAAGGTGAAGGCCTCCTTTGGCAACCTTAGCATGTAGGTGGGTGTCTGCGATGGATAATGGGCCCTTGAGTTGAGCCCTCTGAAATGCTAGCTTATGTATGTCCTTTATACTTTTTCTCTTTCGGCTGAAAAGAAATGTTGGCTTGGTGTTTTTCGTTTGTTTTGCAACTTTTTAATATTACAAACTACCGATTTGCTGGCAAAGGGGCCGATTGTAGGCTCTAAAATTTAATCACTTAACTTTTCTCTTCCTAACCTAATATTGAGAAATTATTATTATTATTATTATTAATACAGTGGGACAAGTTCAAAGAATTGTTGAATCTGTTGCCTCACTTTTTTCTTTTCTATTTGTTCTCTTATAAAGATGATAAGACTCAACCAACATTCTTTCATTTCTTTTCTTACGAACCCTCCGTTTGATTAGAGTCTTTTGTCATTAAGTCATAAATTAACCATTTTTGGGGCCGTTTCAATTTATTTCATTAATTATCATTGGAAAATGATATATATGATTTTCTTCGAACTATCTATTTTTTGACATAACATCGTACCAAAGCTAGTGAAACAAGAGAGTTAACAATCCAGTAATTTCTTTCCATATATCATCATATTCATGCTTAAAGAAAAGTAAAACAAATGAATTAATCAACACTCAATTTGATATGTATCACATCCAAAAGAATAACTTTACAAGTGACTGATTATCAATAAAAAAATTTAATAAATTTAAAAATTAAAAAAAAACGGTTGCTAGTGCCTGCATAAATTAATGGGAGAAAAAGAGAAATAGGTCAAGACTTAAGATGTATTAAAATTAATAGGTCAATAGTTTACATAAGTTAATAAATAGGTCAAATTATTGTTTTCATCCATAATTTGTCTAGTTATGAACCATAACTTGACAAGTTATTGTCTATAAATCACAATTTTTATCCATAACTTGTCTGCCTCTGAACCATAACTTGATAAGTTTGTCCATAACTTATCT